ACATTTATATGACATTTTTCTACTGTGGACGTCTCTGTGCCTCTTAAGACTTTTTAACTGACAAAAACACTTGCCACACTGTTTACACTCATGAGGCTTTTCCCCAGTGTGAACTCTTTCATGACTCCTTAGGCTTCCTGCTTCACTAAAACACTTGCCACAATGTTTACATTCATAAGGCTTTTCCCCAGTGTGAACTCTTTCATGACTCCTTAGGCTTCCTGCTTCACTAAAACACTTGCCACAATGTTTACAATCATAAGGCTTTTCCCCAGTGTGAACTCTTTCATGACTCCTTAGGCTTCCTGCTTCACTAAAACACTTGCCACAATGTTTACAGTCATAAGGCTTTTCCCCAGTGTGAACTCTTGCATGAATCCTTAGGCTTTCCGCTTTACTAAAACACTTGCCACAATGTTTACATTCATAAGGCTTTTCCCCAGTGTGAACTCTTTCATGAATGCTTAGGCTTCCAGATCGGCTAAAACACTTGCCACACTGTTGACATTCATAAGGCTTTTCCCCACTGTGAACTCTTTCATGACTCCTTACGTCTCCTGATCGGCTAAAACACTTGCCACACTGTTTACATTCATAAGGCTTTTCTCCAGTGTGAACTCTTTCATGACTCCTTAGGAGTTCTGATCGGCTAAAACACTTACCACACTGTTTACATTCATAAGGCTTTTCCCCAGTGTGAACTCTTTCATGACGCCGTAGGGGTCCTACTTGACTAAAACACTTGCCACACTGTTTACATTCGTAAGGCTTTTCCCTAGTGTGAACTCTCTCATGAATCCTTAGGTATCCTGCTTGGCTAAAACACTTGCCACACTGTTTACACTTTAAAGACATGAAATGTAGCTTCCTTTGCACCCTTTCAACATAAGATAAAAACATTATTCAGCTTTCTTGAACCATTAAATCCAGCTAGATAACTCCACTTTTCAACAATCATGCAAACTCCGCGATATAAAAGCCAGCTTACAATTTGGTTTCCACGGCTGCCAATCATAATAATGATCAGAAGCCTTGGACCTTGTAAAACAGAAAACACCCTAAAAGAATGAAATCGACCACTTATAAACTATGACCTTGGAAACATGATAGAAAAATACTTCTGTTTCCTAAGAGGTCTGCTGAGATGATTGAAGGTGGTGGGTTGGCTTTTGAAGATGCACTGCTGAAAGATAAAGAAAACTCAAATAAAGTGATCTCTAGTGAAGCAGAGCACCTAGGTGAGGAAAATTTGGCTATCTATGCGTGAGGAATTATGGTAGTCACGTGACTGTCATTCCGACCGCCTAGCCCTCCACACCATAGGAAAACCAATGTGAAATGTCACATTTTGTAGCTAGTACGGGCACTTATGTTTAATTTGATAATAGACATCCATATTATGGACAATTGATGGCTGTCAAAACAGGGTATCCTTTGACTAGAATCAAATTACCGTATCATGGGCTCAGGTGTCAACTCATTGAAGTCAAATGCTTTTTGTGGATTTCTGCTGACCAGCTATTAGCTTTAATTTGTTCACTGGTTTAAGATTGTTTTTCAGCTAGTCCTAAAAAGTGATATGGTCCTCGCCTTAGGTTAAATACAGACAGATTGTGGATTTCCTTGCAATGGTTCCAAGTTTATTTTCCGAAGTAAATTAAAAATAAGTAAATGGGGGCTTGGCTTTTAGCTCTAACTAAATCTCCATATAATGATTATGGACAAACAATGTAGGCATTGTTACGAGTACAATGATGCTGAATAGTGCATTTATAGACTGTTGTCTTTCACCATGACTTAAATGACTAAAACAAGATAAAGTTTTGTCAAGTTTTGCCACATGCATTTGTGTCAGTAACTTCCTATCAAAAACTACTTTTTTTGCCGAATTGATTCCCTTCCGGGTGATTCTTGGAAAGAAGAAAAAAACTGGCTCATAACTTTTGCAAATGTATGACAACAATTTTAATTAAGCGTATCTCCTGCACACTTTTTTATGTTTTAGCCTGCACTGAGCAATACCCAGGAAACAAGCTTGTTCTGAGGGCACTGGGGCCAAAAGGAGAAAAAAGGGGAGTTTTTCCACTCCCCAACCCCCGGGATACTGAGCAAAGTTTCACCACAGAGAGTTACTAAAACAAAAATCAAACAATAGTTAACCAAAGAATAAGAGCAAAATAAAAACTGTTACATAGAAGAGGTACTTAAGGTTATTTCAACATGTCTAACAGCAGGAGCCCATCAAATGGAGCCTCCATCTCCATTAATAATACGTCCATTTTTACAATTTTACAGCTGCTGGGATCTGGGTATCATGAAATAAAAGTTAATGAATTACCCGACTGAGACTGAGCATGAAGCGATGGGACAAAGGCAGCGAACTGAGGGTCACGGAAAGGTTATCTTTGCGAGTGCCTTTTTTTTTTTCCGCTTTACATCCCACATTTAAGCATGCATTTTGAAAAGAGTCGATGATTAAGCGTTCTGTGGACGATTTGGAACTTTTCGATGATCAGCGCCGAAAAAGTGCCAGGATCATTTGATTTTTGTCACCACCGTGGAGTGGATTTCTCCAGTTAAGCACCGCATGCAAAAGCGATGACCTAAGTAGCAACTAACGAGGAATGCTTCAGTTCCGAAATTTGAGAAATTGCAGTCTTCCTTTACAACTGACTTGTATCACCATGAGAGTTGTGTGATTAAACTGGCACTTGAAAAGTTGAACAGAAGACCACAGTTGCTCGACCGTGAATAATTTGCTAAAGGAGGAATTTGTGACATCGCGCTCCAGTCCAAAGACCCACTTATCTCAAGAAAAACAAAATAGATTGTATCTGCGCCAAAAGAATTATGACTGACTAACAGGACAATTCTCAGCAGTAAATGCAGAAGTTTAGGCTTAATTCTTTCCCCGAATTCGCATCTGTGGATCACTTTTTTGCGAGAAAACAATGGCTGGGCCCGGCGTTACAAAACATAGCAGGGAATCATCACACTAGCTGACGGACAAAACAACCACAACGACTACAAGTATTTATTCAGATAAACGCATTTCGGGAAAAAAAGCCTTGAAAAACTAGAAATTTGATTAATATTGAGTCATTAAGCCGAAATAAGAACCTTAACGCTGAAAAAAAATTGGCTAAAGAAAACGAATCCTGTCAGAACTACAGACTGCAGGAAGTAGTTAATCATTATGCATGTAACAGACCAGCTTCATGGCCTTTAACTGTGAGACAAGCAACCAAACTGAAGATTAACATAGTCAGCGTGTAAAACTCTCCACAGTATAATCTACCCACTAGAAAGAAAAGAAAGAAAACCTCTGAGGGATGAAAACGCTAAAGTTACGTTTCACTAGCTTATGATTGTGTTTGGCCTGTCAACAGCGAATTTCCTGCTGTTCGATGAAGTACAATAACAGTGTCATTTCGTCGTTGTGATTGGCTCTTCCCACCATCGGCGCGCGAAGTCTCCCCTGGGAACCGTTCTAATTATAAATCTAATCGGGAAAGGGTTGACTCCAAGGGCATGTATGGGAGATGGAGGCTCCATTTGATGGGCTCCTGCTAACAGCAAATACTTCCAACCTTTAGCAAAAAAAAATTCCAAAATATTTAGTGAAAAAACTTATGCAAAATATATAAACAGAGTTTAATTTCATAGAGGCTTCAGTGCACCTTGACTATTTAGCACAAGTTGCCAATCAATAACTAGATCACATATGAAAGTCAGTTTCACCACCAAATGGGAAACAAACATTCAAGATAAACTCACTAATTTGCAATGAGTTAACCTCCCATCATTTCATATAAAAGAGCAAAATCGCTGGGAGATATCCTCGTTAGAGCAAAACTATAAGGTCACGTTTCACACTATCACAAGATTATGAGTCGTGTTTGGCCTGTCAACATCTTTCACCTGCATTTGTTTATCTATACAAAACGTTAAAACAACCATGTTCGAAAGTAAACAACAAAGCCACAATGATGTATTTTATCGGTTCGTTTGAATATCGCGTGATGTTTCTGGTTAAGATAAGGCGTTTCAACGGCCACCGGAAGTGGACTTTTTGCATTCTTGGCAGTGGTTCTTGGGCAAATTTTCAGGCAGATCGTCTCTATAAGAGTAATGACACTTATCAATACAAATGTGGTGGTGTCAAGGCATATAAAAAGGGAAGAGGTCTTGCTTCCGGTTGCTGTCCGTCGCTCAAGAACGCCTCAGTTTTAGTTGAACTTTAAACGTGGTAACGAAAATGTCACACATTCCGCGAAATCTGAATTTTCTGGGCGAAACAGCTTTTTTAGGGGGAATTTTCTGTTTAGAATATCCGAGTAGACGCAGCGAGAAAGTAAATTGTCATTTCGTAAGCTACAGACTGTCATTTCGCAAACTACAGATTGTCATTTCGCAAACTGCAGATTTTCATTTCGCAAACTGCAGATTTTCATTTCGCAAACTACAGATTTTCATTTTGTTTCGTTCCATTTCGTTTCGCAAACTACAGTAAGCCAAAAGTGACGTCATCCTAGTGACCTCTTTTATACGGACAGCTCTCTAATAAGGACACTTAGCTCTGTCCCTTTGGTGTCCGTATTAAGAAGTTTGGCTGTAGTCAATTGTACACATGCATGAGAAACAAATCCATGCAAGAATGAATTTGTATCTATGAAATGTCCACATACAAGTCATGTATCTAGGTGATCAGTATCTCAATTCTCAAAATGCATGAGCTTATTCAGACATGGTTGTAGCCTGCCTGCTACGCAGCTAACATGGTTGCCAGTCAGCCATAGTTTTTGAAATTCCCAGACTCTGTTGAAGTACCCTGACCAAATGAATTGACAATTTGTCCTGATAATGGCCTCCAAACCGCCATCACAGCCATCCTCTCCACCCATTTATTACATGAATTTATCCTTAACATAGAGTGCGGAATTGTTTGATCTTATAGGAAATCCCATATCTGCTTGCCTTTTAATTTCTTGAAACAACATCCTGCAAATCGAACCTTTTTTAAAGCAAGGAGCACAAAAGTCTGACCTCCTTTAATTAATTTACATTCTTTCACGCAGACATTAACCAATCAGAAGTCGAGGACAGTTTCCAGCTGGCTTCTTATTGGATTGAATCTGCTCAAAAGAATGTGAATAAATTAAAAGCTGTCGCACTTTTGGTCCTTGCTGCAACTTCTATGACTATGCATGTACCAAAGCATTTTTAATATTAGGAAACAATGAAAGTGAAAAAAGAAGAAATACATGTGTCTGTGATTGTTAAATTTCACCTCCCTCTGACTTATTTGGAAGAGTTAAATTACTCTGACTCGTACCAAAATTCCATGGCTTGTTAAAGTGTTACTTATAAGGAAAAAATAATTTTACTGGCATGGCAACCATAAATATTATTGAGAGTTTGACTTTAAAGGCACAGCTGTGTTTATGTATAATGCTGCAACATATATATTATATAATTTTTACTTCAGATGGCTTTGGGGAAGAACAAAATGTAATCAAAATAATTTATTGTAAACAAAAATTTTGTTAAATATTAAAGGACTTTGTTTATAAATATATCACTTCCCTACATGTCACACACTAAACTGTTCATTGTAAATAAAGCTCATTGTAAAATCGATAGTTGTTCATGTGTAAAGGCTGACAGGCTGTACTGAGTCCGTTGGAAAGATATTCTTCACATGTTTTTTACAGATCATGTCCGCTTAATTATTGCTGCCTATCATTGCATCGAAGAATATAATTTTGACTTTAAAGCATTGCCTCTACCCATTGGTTTTATTGTGAATTCTGTTCTTCATACGTCTGCAATCGATGTTTCTCTCTACATTGGTT